TTAAGCCCAATTGGGCAACTTAGCAACTTAGAACTTGTCTCAAAATAAAAATAAAAAAAACTGGGATGTAGCTCAGCAGTAGAAACTCCCCAGGTTCAACCCCCGTTACCTCAAAAAAGAGAAAATGTCAAGCAGAGCAGGCAGTGTGTTGCAAGCCCAGCACACAGGATGCTAAGGCAGGAAAATTGCCAAGAATCTGAAGCCAGTTTGGGCTATGGAGTGAGTTTGAGGCTAGCCTGAATGGTGTAGTGAGACCCTGTCTCAAAACACATATGGAGCCCATGACACAAGGCAGGCATAGGGCCAGCCCTAGTGACCATAGCAGATCTGGTTTGTCATCTCATGAGTCCTCTGGTCTGGGGAGGAAGTCCGATCTGAAAGAGAGCAAGTTCACAAGCATGGGGGGGGGGGGGACTACAGGGATGGTTCAGAGGGGAAACGCCATTTAATTGCCACCTGAGTGGTGAGCAGGTTCTGGGAGGTGATGGCACCAAACATGTGTCGGAGGAGGAAGTTCAGCCAGAGGAGGCAGCACGTGAGAAGGTCCTGAGGCCGGAGAGAAAACACAGGAGGCTTCACAAGAGTAAAGATATTCACACCGTCCACATCTGAGCTCCTGAAAATACCACATCTGAGAATATCTAGCTGCCTGAATGAATGCGTGCTCAAATGAAATTTAAGTCAGCTCAAGTAGAAAGAGGAAAAGAACAGCATGAAAGGCAACTTGAGATGTGGGCATCGGGCAGATCACATAGGCATGACTATCTTGATTAATGAGTTTAAAGAAGGTTCTGTTATGCTCTATGCTTATCGCCCTAGTAACCATGTACCTGGAGCACCAACCACACTGTTATAAATTTGTTACAAATTAACTGACCGCGTCATCATGCTGTTCTGTATGCATCATTCCCCCCACCTTAGTAACCTGTTTGCTGTGTCAACTTATGTTCCCCTTGTAAGAGACAAATGATGCTGTGTCAACCACTGAGAGACAAATGTTCCTGGAGTCGGCAGACCAAGGGCCATGAATTGGCTAACCACCCACTGTGAAACGCCTCTGACCTCAAGCAAAGGGGAACAAAGGCCCACCTTCTTTCTGTTTCTCATCACTATGTACTTAATGATCAATGAGTAATCATAAATGAACTATAAAAATCAGTCAAAATGGCTGGCCCGAGTGCAGTGGTATTTACAACTAATTGATCACAACCAGTTACAGATTTCTTTGTTCCTTCTCCACTCCCACTGCTTCACTTGACTAGCCTTAGGGAAAAAAAAAATCAGTCAAAATCCTGACTCAATTGCACAGCTTTGCAAATTCCATCTGCACTGTGTCGCTGGGCCAGCTAAAATAAAAGCGCTTCTTTCAAAAAGATGTTGTCATCTTGCCCCATTTATCATCTCAGGGGTCTTGCCCTGTTTTTCATCATGGGGCCTTGGTTTTTTTTTTTGGGGGGGGCGGTTACAACAGGTTCTTATTTGCTCCTTTTTTTCCTTTTGTATTGGGAATTGAACCCAGAACACTTACACGGAGCTCCATTCCTAGTTCTGAAAACTCTCTTTAAAATTTTTTGAGATGAGGGGGTCTCACTAAATCACCTAAGCTGGAGTCCATTTTGAATTCCTCCTGCCTCAGCCTCCCAGAGTGCTGAGACTACAAGTATTACCATTCCTGGCTCTGATATCTTTTCTTTTTCTTTCTTTCTTTCTTTCTTTTTTTTTTTTTTTTTTTTTTTTTTTGGTCTTTGTCTTTTTGAGACAAGTTCTCCCTATGCAGTTCAGGCTGGCCTTGAACTCACTTTGTAGCCCAGGCTGGTCTCGAACTTGCAAGGATCCTCCTGCCTCAGCCTCCTGAGTGCTGGGATTACAGGTGTGAGCCACCACACCTGGTTTCTGTTTTCATTTTAAAAGGTCACTTTGAGCTGGGTGTGGTGGTGCATACTTGTAATCCCAACACACAAGAGGCTGAGGCAGAAAGATCACAAGTTCAAGGCCAGCCTAGGGCACATGATGAGTTCAAGGCCAGCGTGGATGACATAGCGAGGCCCTGTCTCAAAAAAAAAAATCAGTTTGACTATGGAAGACAGAATGGTGGCAGAAGAAGCAGCCTGAGGAGCTGGCAGTGGTGAGGATGACAGTAGCAGAGAGAAACTGAGGGGCTGGGATGATCAGGACACGAATCAAGATGACTGACACGGGCTCCTGGATCACCAAGTGCAGCCTTTCACCACAACGCAGACCCTGGCACACAACAGATCCTGCAGGGAAGAGAAGGGGACTTCAGAAACGTTGGATTTAAGTTGCCTTCATAAAGATCCAAGTGAAAAAGCCCACCAGGCTGTTGAATGTTTGGCTGGAGCCCCGCGGACTGTGATATCCAGATGGTCACAGAACCCTCAGGGAACAAGGAGAAGACTCCAGCGACAGGAAAGCGTAAGCAGAGGCCAGGGCTGGGACTCAACCTTGAAGGGCTACAGAGACGATGAAGAAGAGATGCTGGTAACGGAAACCAAGCAGACAGTCAGACAGCGGAGGACGCGCACAGGGTCACACATGAGGGAGGAGCAGTGCGGGGCAGGGTGAGCCTCTGGGCACAGAAAGGAGGACAGCGGGGGTCAGTGGATTTATCACCGTGGAAGTGACGGCAGCATCAGCTGCTATAAAATATAAGCGACGCTCACTATCGTTTCAGGCTTGAGGAGAGGGGAGACTGTGTTCCAGGGATGGAATTTGGGAATCCTGGAACAAGGGCCTGGATCCCAGGGACCTTAGAGGTTATTGCAAGGTCATGATTTCTTATCTATAGAGGAAAGAAAAACTCTCACACAAGTGAAAAAAAATCTTACAAAACACAACTTTTGTGTGTGTATGTGTGTGTGTGTCATTTTTTTGAGACTGTAGTTCAGTCCGGCTTTGAACTCACTGTGATGCCAACTCAGCAATCCTCCTGCCTCAGCCTTCCCGGGGGTGAGACTACACAAGTGCATCACTGTGCTGGACTGGAAAACGAACTCTTAGAACATCAGCCAGGACCTAGCATTTAGCCAAGAAACTGCCCAAAGTTTTAGAATGCACTCATTCAACAAGCTTACTGCGTGGGGTACACTGGTGCATACCTCTAATCCCAGCTATTCAGGAGGCTCAGGCTGAGGATCACGAGTTTGAGCCCAGCCTAGGCAACTTAGCAAGACCTTGTCTCAAAATAATACCTTTTAGTATGGGGATTTAGCTCAGCGGCATAAGCGCCTGCCTTGCAAGCAGGCAGTCATGAGTTCGATCCCTGGTACTGATAAAAACGAAAAAGACAAAATAATAATAATAATAATACCTTTTAAAATGGCCTAAGAAAGCTGGGCAAGGTGGCTCACGGCTGTAATCTCAGCACTTGAGAGGCTGAAGCAGGAAGAGCGTTGTGAGTTTGAGACCAGACAGGGCTACAAAGGGAGCTCAAGGCCAGCTTTAACTGCATAGCAAGACCCTGTCTCAAAAAGACACTAAATAAATAAATAAATAGATAAAATGGCCTACGGATGTAGCTCTTTGATAGAGTACTTTCTTAGCATGTACAAGGTTCTAGGTTCAATCTCCAGTTCTACAAAAACAAACAAAATAGCAAGTTTATTGGGCTCCACACTGTATTTTCTGCTTGACATAGGTCAATGCAGTGACATTTTCCCCCCAGTACTGCAGGTGGGACCAAGTGCATTCTACCACTGAGCTGTATCCAGCCTATTTTAAATTTTTTTTAATTTTGAGACAGAATCTCAGGAAGTTGTCCAGACTGGCCCAGAACTTGCCATCTGGCCTCAGCCTCCAGAGTCACTAGATGCACAGGTGTAGCCCATGATGCCCGGCCCAGTGACTGTTTCTGGAGCATCTTCTGTGTACATGGGTTAAGTCACAAGACTTCCTCTTCATCGTAAACTAACCCCATGAGCAGGGGAGAAGCACAGTGATTAGAGTACACATTGCATGGAAGAGGCCCAGGCTCAGGTCTCAAGAAAAAATAACCCTCAAATAGCAGAACTTTTCCTCTACCCTTTTATCTCCCACCAAACACAGGCCACCCCAGCCATTTTTCACTGTTTCCCATGAATCTGTTCCCTTAATCCATAATGTCCTTCAACAAGGGAGAAACATTTTGAAAATTAATTAATTAACTTGTCTTTTTGAAAGAGGGTTTTGCTATGCATTTCAGCTGGCCTTGAACTCACTTTGTAGCCCAGGGTGGCCTCGAACTTGTGGCAATCCTCCTGCCTCAGCCTACCATGTACTGGGATTACAGGCCACCATGCCTGGCCCTTTTTATTTATTTATTTATTTTTGATACACAGGAATCGAACTCACGACCTCAGGCTTATCAGGCAGCCCTGCACCGCTGAGCTATATCTCTGGCCTTTTTTTTTTCCTTTAGAAGCAGTGCAAAAATGTCCCAAACAGGCTTAATACTTCTGTACTAGGGTTCCTAAGAATCACAATAGCACTTGTCTTTCTATATAGTATTATCTCTGCATGGGGACTCCAGGCTTCCTGGCCCACGTGTGGCTTTTTTTTTTTTTTTTTTTTTTTTTTGGTCTTTTTTGAGGCAGGGTTTTCACAATATGGTTTGTGTTGACCGCCACCGCACCTGGCTTTTCCAGATGTGCCTCTTAAAAATCACCTAAATGAGGGGCTGGGGATTTAGCTCAGCGGGATAAGTGCCTGCCTTGCAAGCAGGCAGTCGTGAGTTCGATCCCTGGTACCGATAAAAAGACAAAATACAGAAAAAAAAAAAATCACCTAAATGGCACCTGCTTCCCTTGGTCAAAAATGGGACTCTGCACCCCTGGACTCTGGCTCAAGCTGCGACTTGTTTTAGAAATGTTCCTCTAGTGCCACCTCCTGGTCAGATGGTGTATGACAGCTCCTGGCTAGGGTCTTTCCCCATTCAGCAACTCCTCAGGTTCATCAATCCGTCCTTCATCTGTCCACCCACCCATATTTTGTCCTTTCTGTTCCAGGCTCGAAGCACGCTCGTGAGCAAGACGACTCAGTTCCTGACCTCAGGGAGTTTAAAATCTGCTGCGGATGGCAACCTTGGAATTGCCCTGTTACAGGAATAACAATCGGGAATAGACTACCGCAGAGGGCTCTGTCTCCAGAAGTCGCCTCCCTCAGAGGCCACTGCAGGACACGGTCTTTTCGGCACACAGACTCTGGCTTGGCGGCCGGCTGAGGCCAGGCCTGGTTTCCACGTCCACTCTCCCTAGGCTTCTTTTTTGCTTGTCTTTGTTTCACTCTTTTTTTAAGCTTAATGATAAAGTAAAACAGTATGACACACCATAAAACAATTGGGCATCTCCGTTCCTCTGAAGATTGTCCTGAAATTATTTTACTCTCCTCCTCCCCCTCCTTGTAGATGAGGTCTCTCTCCTTGTGTACCCCAAGCCTCCGACTTGCATCACCTATCTCAGCTGAGTGGGTGACTGCGTGGCATGTGCTCTACAGCTCTCTTTTAGAGAAGGGCTCCCCCAGCCCTTGTCGTGGTCACAGAGCTTAGCAGGTGTGGATCCAGGCCGGGCTGAGGCTGCTGACTCCCACAGCACTGCTTCTCACTCTAGTAAACCAGGAGCTGGGACCTGAGACTTAGAAGCTGTATCTCTGAAACTCTGCCAACAAGTAATTACTAATAGATTCAGTTTTTAAAAATTGACAGCTTTTTGTTGTTTTTTGGCCTCTCAAGAGGACAGACCGAGTGGGAGCCGGGGACAGAGAATGTCGACAGGAAAGTTAGGGAGACCTCTGACAAGGCGCGGGCTCTGCCAAAAACCTCCAGGCAGGAAGGCGTGGGCCTGGCAGGAGCGGGCCTTCAGTGGCAGCGGGTCTCTGGCAGAAGCTGGTGAAGGGGGAGGAGGCTGCGGGGAGTCCTTGGCTTAGGGCTTCAGTTGTGGGAGCCCAGAGAGGGTGAGAGCCAGAAAGACAAGCCCGATCCCTGTGGTCCCTGTGCGTGGTGGTGGGGAGGAGGCCGCTGCAGCTGGCCAGGGGCGGTAGTGCAGTGAGGACCAGCCAGTGAGACACAAGGATGAACATGACATGGGATGTGAGAGCACCTAACTTTCCTCTCACAATTCAGTCTGCGCAGATGAAAGGACAGCTTGTTACTACTGCAACGGAGCAGATGAGCAAGGGTTCGACTCTGGGCTGGGCATGGGTAAGATGGCTTTGGTGGTACACACTTGCTGTTCCAGTTACTCAGGAGGCTGAGGCAGGAAGACCTCTGGAGCCCAGGAATATGGAGCCAGCCTGAATAATGAGATCCTGTCACTGGGAGGAAGGAAAGGAGAGAGGAGAGAGGGAGGGAGAAACAGGTGGTAGCTGGTGGAAGAAATGGGAGAAACAGCAGCATGTTTGTATGTCAAGATGCTCTCATATGGGTAAACTAGTGTGGCTGAGGGAGAATCGATGGAGCCCCTTTCCTCAGCTGAATGGACAAGTCAGGTCACAGCAGAGGGGCTGCTGGGGACAGAAGTGAGGAGAGGGAGAGCACGGGTTCTATGCACTGAGGAGAGTCAAAAGCACGGCTTGCTGGGCTCCACCTATAGAATTTCCGACTCTCCAGGTCTGGCTGGGTTGGGGCCCAAAGCTGTACATGCCGGACAGGTGCCCCAGAGTGCTGCACTGTCGGTGAATCCATCTGTCTGTAAGGGGTGAGAAGACAATGCACAAAGGGAACGGACACTCCGGAGATTAGTCAGCGATTCATTCTGACTGCTTGGATTTCCCATAGTCAAGTAGGACGCCATTAGCTGAAAGGAGAGATGGGAAAAGAGGTGCTGGGATGTCTGAACAAAGGGAGAAAGAATGAAACAGCTATCTTGACATTGAGACTGAATCAACACAGGGAAGGATTTTCCTCCTGTGATTTTAAGTTTAAAATGAGACCCTGGGGGCTAGAAACGTATCTCAGTAAAGTGTGTTTAGCATGCCCAAGGCCCTAGGTTCAATCCCCAGCACCACCCAAGATAATAAAAAGAGGCACTGGAGGGGGCTGGGGATTTAGCTCAGCGGCATAAGCGCCTGCCTTGCAAGCAGGCAGCCCTGAGTTTGATCCCCAGTACCGATAAAAAGGAAAAAGACCAAAAAAAAAGAGGCACTGGAAACTGCACACCTTCAGCTGGGTGGACATTAGATGTAACTAGGATGGAGACTGGTTAATTAAATTCAATGCAGCAAGACAAAGGGCCCAGAGAGTTGAGGAAGAACACAAAGTAGGAGATGGGGTTATGCTGAGTCATGAAACTTAAACTGGGTAAGGAGAAACAGGTTTGGGAGAGAAAGGATCTACTTCTCTTAAAAGCGGGTGCTTTCTTCTCACCGCCTTGGCCAACTGCCTTCACCCAGTCTGGGTTCTGGGAGCCTGGGCTCCTGCCCTGCCTTTCACGCCGGTCTCTGCTTGTGTTACTCTTCTCTACGTTGTTCACCACCTGACGATGTTTGTCTCTGCACTGCAATTTGAGTCCCGTGGAACACAGGCTTTTACTTTTTTGCTGTAGTCTATGCCTAAAACTGTGCCTGGCAGGGAGGGGCCCTCTCCTACCCTCCATCCCTCTCCAGTCTGGGTCAGTGGACAACCTGATAGGATTTGTCCGATCCTTCGGCATCAAACAAGTGCCTCAGGCTGGGGCTGTGGCACAGAGGTAGAGCATTTGTCTAGCAGGTCTGAAGACCCACGTTCAATCCCCAGCGCTGCAAAAGAAAAAAAGACTAACCTGCTACCATAGGGCAGTTACCAGGGATTTAGCTCAGTGGCATAAGCACCTGCCTGGCAAGTGTGAGTTCGTGAGTTTGATCCCCAGTACCAAAAGAATATAAATATTTAAAAAACCTGCTATCACAGAAGCACTCTATTGTCAGTGGAACACAACAAGAAACTGCAAATGACTAAACTAGGGGAATCATGACTAAAGGGAGTTGGAGGTGCAGTAGAATGCAGAAGGAATCTCATTTCCATAAAGTAACTTAAATGTGTTTATGTATTTAGGAACACACATACATTATATGCCAAATAATTGTATGTCAGTCTTTTTAATATTAAAAAGAATAACCTATGTAAATAAAAACTTAATTACCAAATTGTACATAGACACTTTTTACTTTGTCACTTTTCTTTTTAAATCAGGTCTATGTCAGTGCTGGGATTAGAGGTGTGCCTCACCACATCTGGCTGCTTATTAGAAAAGCTTTACTCTTCCATTTAAAATCCCAGTAAACAGCACACAATCAAGTGGTTTCAGAGGTGATCTCCTTTGTCCAGTAAAAAGTGCACAGACCCTCAGCCAGCATCACAGCTCCTACGCACACCCAGTGAAAGCTGGACTGTGAAGGACGAAAGGCCTAACAAAAGCCACACAGAAAAATCCAATAATGAACAAGAGTTCTTACGGCATTCTTGTTATCTCACACAACACCGAACTCTACTAGAGTACTGTTTGAATTGAATTCTGTGAAGCCTTTTTTTCTGCCCAACAGTAACACTGACAGCTCACAGATTATAGGCTCAAAGGCTGAACAGATGGGGATAACAGATGGACACACAAAACAGGACAAGCAGCAAAATCGGGAGTTCCATCAGGTGTTGCCCCTTAACGGGCAATGCCAACTTTTCTTCTGCGTCTGTGAACCGCCTCTGGCCAGCAGGTGGGACTAATAACTTCTCAACTGTTTGCCGGCACTACTTCTGAACATTATTGAAAAGGCTGAAGAAAGCAATAAACATGCATGATATGAATGTCTTCTTTGCCCCCACTAGCAGGGTGGCACAAACCCATTTCCATCTCTCACCCAACCCAGGTCACCTGGAAAAGCAAGGGTTTGGTGCAGGAAAGCTTCTGCACAGGCACAGAAGCAATGCTTAAACCCAGCATTCCTCACAGCACAAGAGCTGCTTAACTAGAAGAGGCTGGGGCGGGTCCAGGAACCAAATGGAGGAGGAACACGGTTTGTCCTCCTCCATGTGCCAGGAGCCAAGCTAGGCCACGGGCAGGGCCTAGTGGGTACCCAGATCTTCACTGCCACAGTAAGGCAGAGCCCGGCCCAGGTCAGGCCTCAGACACCCAAACCACGGAGCTCAAAGTGTGGAAGGGATTTCTCTAGTTCCCTCAGCCTTGCTCTGGAGCCTCCACCTGTAGCAGTCTCCTTCCACGTGCAAACCCCAAACTGCAACGTGTGCTGCACTTCACAGAACCCCTTAGTGACAAACGTCAATTGTAGTCACATGGCATTGCTTCCCAGTGCATGAAATAATTATAAATGGATTGATCAGGTACATGACTATTTACTGTCTCACAAGGAAACACCTGCATCTTCTGGACTGTGTGGGAACCAGGATTCCCAGTGTTTGGGGATTCTTAAATTACAGGGTCAAGCGTAGAAACTACGTAAGAATGCAAGCCAACCCATCTTCACTGAGGCCCAATCTAGGTGAAGCACTAGGCCAAGTAGACATGCTCTCCCTAACTCCTGAAAGCCATTCATACAAATCCTTACAGAAGGAAAGAAATAAAGCCATTAAAAGCTTTGATTAAGGGGCTGGGGATTTAGCTCAGCGGAAGTGTGCGGTCTTGAGTTCGATCCCTGGTACTGATAAAAACGAAAAAGACAAAAAAAAAAAAAAAAAAAAAAAAAAAGAGCTTTGACTAGGTTAATTCTACACTTAAACCAACAGTAATTCTTTCTTTCTGGTACCACGGATCTAACTCATGACCTTGCATTTGCCAGGCAAGTGCTTGTGCCACAGTAAGTGCTGAGCTAAATCCCTAGCCCACTAATAATTTTTATAAAAAAAAAAAGCTTAATATGTCATTGCAATGTGAAAAACTTCTTAAAAAAAAAAAATACGTATCAATGAATGGTTTCCGAAGGTGGGGAAAAGAGGCTGAAGCAACCGCAAGATCAATCATATACAAATCTCCTATGATGAATGGTATCATCACAGATATCTAAAATGTACCAATAAAATTTTTAGAAATTTAAATGAAAAGGAATGGTTTTGAAATATTCTCCAATAAAAGAAGCCACAGTTCCTTAGGAAAATGGGGCTCAGGCAGGGAACATAAACTAGCCAAGGGGATTTTGTAGTATTACAAAAAGCAAAATGTCAAGCTGAAGGCTGGGTCCCCAGCACTGTCCAAAACAAAAACAAAAACAAAACCTAATGGTTAAAAGCTAGGCCAATCTAAGCAACAAAATAAATGATTGCACTGACATGGGTCCATACTGATATAATTAATAAATGGGGAGCACGACACATTTTATAGGAGAGCTCTAATTAGTATATGTTGAGGGAAAAGAAATAGTTAAAACATTGGCAAACACCACAATAATTATTGTTGCAGGCAAAAGCAGTCCATAGATGCCAACATTAGCAAGTTAAAGAATGATAGTTGCATAGTATACCCCTAAGTTACTTATTCATTACAAAGGGAAAATTAATACCTTTACAGTGGAGAATTCTGGCAGATATCACCTTAAGCAAGTGATCAAAGTTAACATCAGTAACAAGTCATATCGACATCAAGTAATTGGATATAATGCACTGAATACAATGCTTTTGTGACACTCTTGCTGACGATAATACCAGATGAACAAAATTCAAAGGGCACCCTACCAAATAACTCACCAGTAGTCTCAAGTTTCAGATGAAGAATGAATTGTCATAGGCTAAAGGAAACTAAACACAGCTAAATGCAATATGGGAACCTGGACAGCTAAATGCAACGTGGGATGCACACTGAGCCAGAAAAAAATGTGTGAGAGCTGGCAAAACTCAAGTGTTCATAAATTAGTTAATAGTACTATGTCAATATTTACTGGTTTTGATAATTCTACTATGGTTATGCAAATGTTAACATTTGAAGGAAAGTGAGTGAACGGTGTATGAGGACTCTCCATTACTATTTTTGCAAAAGTTTACATTTCAAAGTAAATTTTAAAAAGCACAACATTAAAGGTGGGCATGGCAGCGCACCCCTGTAATCCCAGCACTCAGAAGGATGAGGCAGGAGGATCACTGGGAGTTCAAGGCCAGTCTGAACTGCATAGTGAAACTTTCAAAAAGTCAGGAGAAAAAAAAAAAGGATTGCTATGAGTTCAAGGCCAGCCTTGGCTACATCGTAAGCTGAAGGTTGGCTTGGACTGTAAAACGAGGCCCTTTCTCAAAAAAACAAAAAATAAAACGTACAACCTGTTAAGAGAAGACAGTCAACCAAATGTAGCTAAAATTAACTGAATGTGAAAATAACACATCTTGATTTGGGGGGATTTTTGAGGGGAGGGGAATAAACTAGCTGTGTAACTCAAAACTACAGCTGATTTAAAAGCGTATTTGAAAGTTTTAAAATTATTTGAATTGTCACTAATATGAACTAAGACTGTTCAATTCTCCCTCATCTTCAACAAAGGAAAAAAGTAAATAACAGCTAGTCAGTTACTACGTTCACAAATAACAGTCGAGAAATAGTCAAAAGTTAAAATTTCCCAGTGGCAAAGTTGTCTTTAGTAAATAACAGACCTACTTTAGCTGCATTCTGTGGTCTTCACTAAAATTAAGTTTTATACCTACCTCTTTAACAGTCTAATTTTTAAAATGTTGTGTACCATAAAAGACAATGGAGTATTCTTTCTGTTTTAATATAAGTCTAAGATCCTGAACCCCTCAATACTAGGGATGGTTAGATAAGCAATAGGAGAGCCAATTCCATCCAATCTATTTCCAAACTAATAGTATTTTCTGCATCTATTATGAAAATGGGAAAGCACCACCTTAAATTACTGAGGCGCTACCATTTCAAACTGCAAAAAATCCTTAAATCATCTTTTACTCCCCTTGATTCAACATGGAAAATCCTAGGTAAAATTACTTTTGAATTTCCTTTTGTCTGGGTATTTTCCCTTGTGAAGGCAAAATACTCAACAGTGTACCCCAAAGGTATTCTGTAGACGGCATAGAGGTTGGAACTAAAAATGAAAATATCGAATGCTGTATTTCTTATTGAGAAATCTCACATATTCAAATTAATGAAAACACAAAGGAACTCTCAATTTGGGGAAATGTATTTCGAAAACTGGCAGACAGAAATGTCCAGAAATACTGTACTACACCTCTGATATGCAAGGGTTCTTAACTGACAGTGTTTACTATGCTGCTAACTAGAAATCCACACAGATTTATTTTATTGGCATCCTTAACGTAGTAGGCAGGGCTGTGTAAATAAGACAAGTCAGTCATCTGAGGGCATAAGTGTCCCACAGTATTAAAACACATTTTCTTACTACAAATGTTTTCACAAAGGTTTAACACTCCAAAACTGGGACATCTTAAGAGCTAGAATTCTGAGAAGCCCTTCAAACCTTGGTGAATAAACAAGAAAGCATCAAATGCCACTGTAGTTTTAAGATTCACAGAAACAAACTTGCTGGAATTTCCTTTTCTGGAATTTGCATCCATTTGGAATACTGTCTAAATAAACTATATTTTGGATTAAATCCTGTGTGCTACCTTCTTTATATTAAAGATACAGTAAAATTTCAGTAGTTAGCAAAGTGCTTGGCACCTAAAAACACAAACATTCGTTCATACTGAATGACTGAGCAGTGGTTTTATCTTCTTCTCCAGGAGGTATCCAGAAATAAAGCACTATGAATATTGGTCCACCTTCCTTTACAGGTTGTGGCCATTCAGCCCTGGTACAAAGCAAGTCTCAACTATTTCATCTTGATACAAACTTTAAAAAATAGTTGCGACCTCACCTCTTGAACTCCTTACACTCAAAAACTTTTCACAAAATATAGCAGAGTCAAATAACACTAAGTGGTACTAGAAGCAATGCTCAACAGGATCTCACGTTTATTGAGAAGTGATTAATGGTAAAAAGAAAGGCGATGCCCTTTCCTCATTGGTTGAACAAGAAACATTCACTACACGTTTTACAATATTTTTCTCTTCCAAAATGCATTTCTGAAAACGAGTTTTTATCATTGTTCTTAACTTTGAAATCAAATTAATCTTGACTTAATCAGTATAATGTACAAGAACAGAACGTTTCTTAGGACTCCTAGTACTTTACTTTGAGTAACAAAGGGTCAGAGAAAATGAACCACCCTTAAAGACACAACCTTGGGTAACACTGTTAAATTTTCTTAAGACAAAAATTCTTCATAAAAATGCTCTTCCAGTTCGGAAGGGAAAAATCAAATTCCCACTTTCTGGGGTAGAAACCCAAAACCTTCACAACTCGTGTTCTCCAAGTGCAAATGTCAAAATGGGAGGAGGAAAGGGTTTAAAAATTAGAGAAAATTGTATGCACTTACGGACTTAAAAATCCGAAAAACATAGTAAAAAGACAAAAAAACAAAGCATTATGCTCTGAAATCACAACCAAAGCCAAAATAAGAGGGACATTTTTCACCTAAACTACCTAGAGGGTTTTTGTTTAGTTTTTTCCTTTTCTTTTCTTTTTTTCTTTTTTTTTTCCATTTTCCAGTTAAGTCCTATGTCTTTTGTGAAATTCCAATACTTAAACTGCAAGACTGCAATCGTCTCTGAAGTCAATGAGATTAAGAAAAAAGTCCTAATTCTCTTGAAGGTCATTTTTCCTCTTAGGATTTGCAGATGCAACCGTTGCTGCAGTCTATGCAGAACTGCGTTTTACTTCCCACGACCTTGACGCTCCTAGAGGAAACAAAAAAAAAATTGAAATGGTTAAAACTTATCTGAACATGTTTAAGAATTCAAACTTCACACAATAAAAATTTGGTTATGTGTGCTAGACAGAATATTTACACAAGTAAAATGACTTCTATTTAGATCGTGTAAGCCGTAACACTTAAACATCCCAAACAGTACTTCTTACATTAAAATCCATTACAACTAGGCATGATGGTGCCATGCCTGTAGCCTCAGCACTTGAGAAGCTAAGGGAGGATAGCTGTTGATAGTGAATTCAAGGCCAACAAACTATATAGTGAGACCCTATCTCAAAAAAACAAAACAACAAAAAAAACCACAATCAAACAAGCAAATAAGTTAAAAATGTATTACACATTACTCAACAGATTAAATTTTTCTACTATACTTGCTCTAGGGCTTAAGTTAGTAATTAGCCTGAAGTACGGCCCAGTGCAGTGATGGCAAACCTTTTAAGAGCTTTCAATGATACAAACTGTCTGCTGAGGCACATGTACCATAGATTCACCTCTACCAGCCTAGTAGAAATAATGTCAAACATACATCAATGGTCTGAAAATAGGACAGCATACATAGTACAAAATCTAAGAGCAAAGTCAGACAATCTACATTCAAATCCTATACCAATCCCAATGCTTTAAACACATTCACGGGCCTCAGGTACCTTTTCTGTAAAGATAAGTATTTCACAAGGCTATGGAAAAATTAATGAGCTGACATACAGAAAGCTGTTAAATCTATGGTAAGCAAGAAAACTACTCTTCCCCTACGAAGTTTAAAATACACTTAGGGATGGACTTTGAAAACTGACTATAACATGGCTTTCAAAATAAGAAGTATGAAGTGGTTAAATGTACGCAAGACCTAAACCTCATGTATTTGCTCTCATTTACCATATGAAAACTATGGTTCTAATGTCTGATTCCTTCCAAAAAGAACAGCACTTATGGGCTTTTCTGCTATAGGCAGAAAACTGTAAAACCTTTATAATCATCCTGCAAGGACTATTATTCCTGTTTTAGATAAGAAAACAAGTTACGGGGCTGGGGATTTAGCTCAGCAGCATAAGCGCCTGCCTTGCAAGCAGGCAGTCGTGAGTTCGATCCCTGGTACCGACAAAAATGAAAAAGACAAAAAAAAAAAAAAAAAAGAAAACAAGTTACTAGCTGGGCATGGTGGCATATGCCTGAATCCCAGCACCATGTGTTCCTGAGCTACATAATGAGTTCAAGGTCAGCCTGAACTTCATAGAAAGACCTTGTCTCAAAAAAAAAAAAAAAAAAAAAAAAACCACCTCGTAGAGCTGGGGATTTAGTTCAGCAGCCTAAGTGCCTGCCTTTCAAGTGTGCAGCCCTGAGTTCAATCCCCAGTACCGAAAAACAAAAAACAAAAAAACAAAAAAACAAAAACCTTTATAGAGGACCAGGGATATAGCTCAGTGGCACAGTGCCTACCTGGCAAGCGCAAGATCCTGACTTCAATTCTTGGTAGCAAAAAAAAAAAAAAAAAAAAAAAAAAAACAACCTCTAGAAGACACAGGGCATTTGCCTAGCATACATGTGACCCTGGATTCATTCCCTGATACTACAAAAGCAAAGACCTCCTAGAAAATCTCTTAAAGTAATTCCAGAAATACAGATTTTCTTGAGTAGGTGAGGTAGTTTGTCTTTATCTTTTTGAGACAGGGCTTCTGCCATGTAGTTCAAGCTGATCTTGACCACTAACTTATAGGCATCCTCTTGCCTCAGCCTCCTGAGTACTGGGATTACAGGTATGTATCACCACATCTAGTTTACAGACAAAATTTATTTGCCGTGATGCTATATTAGAAAACCTAAACTCTGTATCACTGGTATACCAGATTTAAGAAAAATATATCAGCATTCTTACCAACAACATTTTAAACAGAAAAAAATTTTATTAGCACTGTGTAATCATACTAATTGCTGCATCTCATCTTTTCTTTTTGGTAGTGTTAGGGACTGAACCATGGCCTTGCACATTAGATGAGTGCTATACTACTCAGCTACAAAACCAAACCTTATTTTGTTTTGAGAAAAAGTCTTGCTAAATTGCCCAGGCTACATGCAACCTCTAATTTTCCTGCCTCAGCCTCCTAGAGTGCTGAGATTACAAGCCTGCATCACCAGGCCCGTCCAAAAGCCTTACTTCAAATTTTTAAATGATGCAAACTATACAAATAACTGGCATTAGTCAGGTGTGTGGCATACACTTACAATCTCAACACTTGGGAAGATGAGGCAGGAGGATCACCCTCAGTTTTAAGGCCAGTCTGAACTAGACAACGCAGAAAAAGAAGAAAAAAAAAAAACCTCTGACATTAGCTGTTTTAAAACCCTCATCAAAAGTCAGGCATGGTGGCTCACGCCTGTAATTCTAGCACTCGGGAGGCTGAGGCAGGAGGATTTGTTGCGAGTTCGAGACCAGCTCAGGCTACAAAGTGAACTCAAGGCCCGCCTGAACTGCACAGACAGACTCTGTCTCAAAAAGACACACACACACACACACACACACACACACACACAAAACCTTCATCAACATCAAGAAAGCACTTCAAATCATGCGTGGTGTGGTATATGCCTATAATCAGCACTCAGAGACTGAAGCAGGTACATAAAAAGCTATCCAGCCTAGGCAATTTATATTAGTGATTTAGAAGTGCCCCATCTCAGAATAATAAAAAAAGAGGTCGAGGATATAGCTAAGTAAAAGGCCCTGGGAGACTGAGACAGGAGAATCCAAAACAAAACCAAAAAAAAAAAAAAAAAAAAAAAAAAAAAAGATTTAGGAAGATAACAAATTAGAGCCTAGCCTGGGCAACTCAGATCCTATCTCAAAATAAAACAGAAGGCTGGACATGTAGCTTAGTGCAAAGTCCCTGGGTACATTCCTCAGTACCATGCACAATGGTGGGGGGTAGGGGTAGAGTTAAAAAACAAATCAATTTTTAAAGTATTTTTACTTAAAAAATTCAGACTTGGAAATAGTAAGCATCACTAGGCTTCTGATTAAAGGTCCTTCCACTGGCCAAATATGCAACTTGAACACTATATAAAGTTAATATTAAGTAAACATCTATTATAGTAATATCTTAGTTGGATGAGATTTATCAATATATTTTAAAATAAAGACAGTGGAAAGCTGATGAGCAAGACATTTATATAATCTTCTCGTCTATTAATAGGAAAAAAACAGTAACTACAGTAAAGAGCCTGGTGGATGATCAAAATCAGCATTACCAATAATGGCATAAACTGAAACTCTTAACTGATCCACTAAGAAGCACATACTGTTTCTTTGAGGAGCAGCAGGGTTTATCTGAGATCAAACTCAGGATCTCAGGCTTGACAGGTAGGCTCTGCACCTCTGAGCTATATCCCTGGCTCTGCTTCTTAAAACCATTAAAGACAAGGCTGAGGATTTAGCTCAACGGCATAAGTGTCTGCCTTGCAAGCAGGCAGTCGTGAGTTTGATCCCTAGTACCAATAAAAACGAAAAAGACGCCCCCCCCCAAAAAAAAAAAACTTGAGATAAGAAATATGATCCCTAAGACCCTAAACCGTTAAAAAAAAAAAAAATCTGCTATCCCAGAAAACTGGAAGCTAGGCAGCACAGATAATATCTGCAATCCCAGCTGTGTAAGACAACTGAAGCAGGAGTACCAAATGAGCCAAAGAGTTTTAGGCCAGCCTGGGCAACAATGTGACCAGTGAGGGGGATGGATCTAGACCTATCATAGTACAGCAGTACTATGTCAGATTTATATTTTCTAATTTTGATCACTCACTATGATTCCATAAATGCAAGAGGCATAATATCTTGGTCTTTAACTGTCAAGTGGCTTGAGAAAAATTACTACACAGCTCCAAGAGGAATGATAAGGCAATTATGGCAAAATACTACACTGGAGATAGGGTTTTACATAGCTCAATGGTACAGCACATGCTCAGTGTATGACTTACTCAATTGCCAGCAAAATTCCAGGTTACAGCAATGATTCTAGGTTAAAGGTATAAGGGATTCTTTTGCATTTTGTTTTTTGGTACCCTGAATCGAATTCAGGAACTCACACTTGCCACGCAGGCACTGTCACTGAGCCACATCCCTTGCCCTTTGGCACTATTACTGACAGTTCTCTAAGTTTAAAGATATTTCAAAAATAAAATGGGAGAGGAAGCAGCAACACCCTTCCTTGTGCAGGCAGTGCTCCACCCACAACAACTGGCTGATTTAGAAGAATGCAGGCTGAGATGATAGCAATAAAAGAACTTACTGTTTAAACTGTTTGACTGTGTAGACCTAAAGCTAGTAGTTTGAGCATCTACTTAAAGGATAACAATATGCAATATAGTAATTTTTGTGGATTTCCTATTGTCTGTTTTTTGCCAATATCGTTCTCATTGTTTTGTTCTATTGCTTTTATTAGCTTTTAAATAAATTTTAAAAAATGAGAAGAGGGAAGAAATGAGTTTTCGTTTATTTCTTCTGATTAAAACAAAATCAGAAAAAAAAATAACCAATTGCCAGACGTGGTAGTACACACCTGTATCCCAGCACTCAGGAGGCTGAGGCAGGAGGACTGTGCAAGTTCAAGGTCAGCCTAGAATACATACAAGATCCTATCTCGGGGCTGGGGATTTAGCTCAGTGGCATAAGCACCTGCCTTGCAAGCAGGCAGTCATGAGTTCAATCCCTGGTACCGATAAAAAGGAAAAAGACAAAAAAAAAAAAAAAAAAAAAAAAAGATCCTATCTCAAAACACACACACACCAGAGTATACCTGGAGTGGTAGAACAAATGCTTAGCATGTACAAGGCACTGGGTTTGGGCTGGGGATTTAGCTCAGTGGCGTAAGCACCTGCCTGGCAAATGCAAGGTCATGAGTTCAATCCCCTGTACCAAAAAAAAAAAGGCACTGGGTTTGATCCCCAATACCAAAAAGTATACCAAAAGTTGCTTACCAA